TACCTGGTCCTCTGGATAGCCATTTGTGGAGAACACGGCCAGAAAGGGCAAGTGATTTGCCCAGTGTCACACAGTTAGGAAAGTGGCTCTTGGGGCTCTAGATCTTTTGTTCTTCTAGGTCACCATTCTTCTGACCCCAAACTCTCTTTCATTCTTCTCTGGCCAGGGAAGGGCTCTCTCAGGGGGACCGGGAGGAGGCTTGTTGGCTGGGGCCAGACCCTGTTGCTGAGGCAGAAGTGTTCCAGACCTTCTCCCTAGTTCTAGCCTTGCTTCCTAGTTCTCATTGTGAAGCTCTGAATCTGTTCTCTCCCTCCCTTCTCTCCTTCCCTCCCCATGCTGCAGTACACGCTGTGGAGAGTAAGTGGCCCTGCCCCCAGGGAGGCCAAGCCCCCACTTCTGGGGTAGCCTTCCTTCCCAGGATGGGGGGAGGTCAGAGGGGGCTGGGATCGGTACCTTCTCTGGCCTGCTGAGTATAAAAAGCATTGGAATGTGTTTCAAGGTACATTTCCTAGCAAGAGGGATTGGGGTTAGAGGGCAGGAAGAACTTATTCTGGAACAGTTGGTACAGGGTGCCGGTGGGCTGTCTTTTGGGAATTTTTGAGGGGAGGCACAGGGGAGAGCCTAGGTAGCATTCTATTTAATCTCAGGTCATACTTTGGGGCTCAGTGTTGTGGCGTCAGCCCTTGTTAATGAAAGACCCCAGTCATAGATTTGTTTCCTGAGGTACAGGCAGGGCGTGGTGGGAAAGAAGGCCTGGAATTCTGATGTCTGTCAGGGAGGGAGTGGGGTCCATGTTCTTATGACCCCCAACAAGGGCATAGGCTGTCACATAGGCCCAAGTCAGGCCTTTCTCCCTGTCCTTAAGCAGGACTAGACTGGAGAGTGAAGAACCAGGCAGGCCGTACTCCGGAGGGAGGAGGGACAGGCCTGAGCCAGGACTCTGAGGGGCCAGGGGCTGGTGCCATCCCCCTGATAGCACCTTCTCCCTTCTCTCCTACCTAGTCCATGACCTGCAGAGCTTCGGCCTTGACAATGTACGTACCAGGTGGCGCCCATGGGGGCAGTTTGGGTGGGAGACTTGGTTGGTGCTAAATTTCTCTGTAGGACATCCTTGGGGGGAGCACATGTGGAAGGGTGTGCCATGTTCTGATGGGATCCTGCCTAAAGGTTGAGTGACAGGGACATTTAAATTGAGATCTGAGCAGACCAGGGACAAGGATGGGGCAGGACAGGAGCCTCCTAGACAGAGACTCCAGGGTGAGGTCAGGAGAGAGTGTGGCACATCTGAGGAACTACAGGGCAGGGGTGGGAGGGTGAGGCTGGAGAAGTCAGCAGGGACCAGACCACATAAGACTCAGAGGCCACGCTGAGGAGACTGGTCTTTCCTAAGAACTGTGGGAAGCTGTGGCCTACTTTAAGCAGGGTCGTGGCATAATCACACCTGCACGTTTAGTGGCTGAGTGTGATGTGCACCAGAACAGGAAGGAGTGCCTCTGGGGCCTCTAGCTTAGGCCTCCATGACTTGAGACCTGTAGGCTATTCAGAACAGCAGTGCCTAGGAGGGAAATGGGGTTCCTGTCTCAGGCAGGCTCTCCCCTTAGAGCCGTAGCTTTTCACAGGTGGGCCCCTCCTTCTCACCGCTGCTCCAGGCAACCCATCTGCTGCTATAACACAGAGCTGGGGTGGCGGAGGGCCATGGGGCTCAGGCGCTGGTGTTGCTTGCAGATCAACATGACCCACTATATCCAGCACTTGTCATTCGGGGAGGACTACCCAGGCATCGTGAACCCCCTGGACCACACTAATGTCACTGCACCCCAAGGTACTAGCCCAGGAGGTAGCCCCCAGCCACCAAATGTTCACATGGCACCCATGCCAGTGCTCTCTTCCCCTTGCAGCCTCCATGATGTTCCAGTACTTTGTGAAGGTGGTACCCACGGTGTACATGAAGGTGGACGGGGAGGTGAGTCTGAGGGAGCTCAGGTATCAGAGTCTCCGCTTGGCACCAAGCCCTTGAGTTCCTTCATTTAGTTCCTTCAACCCAGGAAGTGAAGTGCTGCTCTCATCCCCATATGATGGATGAAAAACTGAGGCTCAGAGCGGGTAGGTGACTTGCCCTCAGAGGCAGAGTTCAGGCCCAAGGCTGCCAGATTTCAAAACACTTCTCTTTTCTGCTGTCCACACTGCCTCTATCCCTTCCCCTGGGGCCTGCTGCATCTGCCTCACTGTCCTCCGTGGACTGCACTGGGTGGGGCTTAGTCAGGCCAAGCCTTCCTGGACCCCTGCTCCCATCTCTTCTGTGACTAGAGAGCAGTAGAGTGTGAGGGACTGAGGGACAGCAGTCAGTCCCAGACTTGATGATACCACACTGAGGGCTTGCCTTGGACCCCTAGTGAGAGCATCTCCTAAACACAGCTAGGGTTGGTAAACTGATAAGAACTGGTGACCAGAGGGCAAGTCGGGGTGGCAAGGCTGGGAGTGGGATTCTGGGTAGTCCCCAGGCCTTGCAGGATTAGCTACCAACATGGTACCTCCTGTGTCCCTGCACCCTGAAGCCACAACGGCACATGGGGCAGGCACTGGGGTGGAGGCTGAAGGGGGCAGGAGCTAGGTCACAGACCTGGCCCTGGCCCAGGCTCTCCTCCCACCCCAGGTGCTGAGGACAAATCAGTTCTCTGTGACCAGACATGAGAAGGTCGCCAATGGGCTGTTGGGCGACCAGGGGCTTCCCGGAGTCTTCGTCCTCTACGAGCTCTCGCCCATGATGGTGAAGCTGACCGAGAAGCACAGGTGAGGGTAGGGGGGCAGTGGTCAGGCCTGGCGTGTGGGAGTGGGGAGCTTGCTGAGCCCATCTGCTCCCCCTGACAGGTCCTTCACCCACTTCTTGACGGGCGTGTGCGCCATCATTGGGGGCATGTTCACAGGTAAGGCCTAGGGTGTCTGTGGAGGTAGAAGCACAATGGGGAAGTAAAACCAGGGCACCACAGGTTTTTTGGCTGGGAAGAAGGGGCATCTGGAGGGCCAGTGGAGATGCTGTCCTGGCCAGTTAGGTGACTATGCTCTTAAGATCAAGTCAAGGCCCCAGCTGGGCCAGTGCCAGCCCTTTTCTCTCTCCCAGTGGCTGGACTCATCGATTCACTCATCTACCACTCAGCACGAGCCATCCAGAAGAAAATTGATCTGGGAAAGACAACGTAGTACCGCCCACCACCCCTCCCAGTTATTCCCTCTTTCTCTTGTTTCTCTTTGGCCTGTGGTTCTATCCCGAAACTCCCACCCCTTCCTCCTCAGAGTGAGCCCAGTCCCGGGGGATAATCTATTGATTGTGATAATACTGCTGGTCTCTGTGTGATTCTTGGGCTGGCTGGTGCCTGGGGACAAACCGTCATCACAGCCACTTACTGAAGGCAGTGACAGCTGCCCCTGGGAGCCCCACACAGGCATCCCCTTGTTAATAGGAACTTACTTAAACAAAACCAGTGTTCTCCCTTAGCCCTGCGCTCAGGGCCTCTCTTTTTGGGTTCAGCCCCTGGGCTCAGGCAGATCTTTCCAGGGTGAGTGTCCTGGAGCCACTATTTCGTGGCCGTGAATGCAGGGCTTGCCACCTATGTGGTGATGGCTAAAGCTGGGGACCCTCCCTGTCAGCCTGGGCTCAGTTACTGGTCCTCTCTGACTGAACCCACTCTCACTGCAAAGAGGTATCTCTCCAGGTCCTCCGTAGTCTTCTGGGTGGAAGCAAAACTGAAAACCATGGAAGGCAGGCAGCATGGCCATTCTGGAGTAGGGCCAGCACCAGGCCCCTGGCTCAGGACCTGATCGGGGCTTCCCAGTAGAGCCATCTCCACATGTGGCAAACCAAGCCCCAGGGAGCCAGGAACAATGACAGCCAGTCAGCTTATTACATCATTTGTCAGGGCATTTTGATGTAGGGAAAAGGCAAGGAGAGGGGACAGAAAGCAAAGCAGGGTGATGATGGCAAAACCTCTGGAATTAGGCCTGCGGTCCAGCCCTGATGTGCTCACCTCAAAGCTGTGTGACCTTGGACCTATTTAACCTTCCTTTCCCCTTTATGGGCGTCAGCCTCATCTCTAAACTGGGGGTGATAACACTGGCTGTTGTGAGCCTTGTTTTGGATCATCTAGGAACCATTCCCTCTTATTAACAGTCTCTGAATTCTCTTAGGAACCCCGTACACCCTTTCCACTTTGTAGGAGTGTTGGTTCCCCACCCCAATCCCCATCCTGCTGGCCACAGAGACACAGAGCAGGCCAGGCGCCATCAGGAGCAGGAGAGCTTGCTGTCCTTCTGGCTGGGAACATGGGGAAACAGGTCACTGCAGTGACCCTGCAGTACTGGGGAAGAATCCGTCTGCAGATGAGTGTGTCCCAGAGGACAGCATTGCTGAGCCACAAGACAAAAATGGCTGGTTTTGGTGACATCACTTAGACCCTGTGAGAGGCTGCACCTGAAGCCAGCCAGCCAAACTGGCTGGGAATTACAGCTGTGTAAGCCAAAAAATGCCCTTTCTGCTTAAGTCAGTTTGCAAACAAGTGTGCAGGGACAGGTAGGCCTACTGGAGGGGATGGGGAAGTAAACAAGTTAATGAAGCATGTAAAGGGATCAGCATTCTGGAGTGGCAGGATCCTCAGCAGATTAGGTGAGAAAGACCCACCCACCAGCAGGAGCAGCGGCTCAGAGGCATGACAGCTTGGCCCCAGGCTCCTTGGCTATGAGCCTCCTATCAGGCTCTGTTCTCCATGGCAGGGCATGTGGGTGGCCTCCCATCCCCTGTGCATTCTTCCAGCAAGACCCCTGCACCTGAGATCACCCTAGACTAAGGCCTAGAGCATCTCTGTTCTCTGCCACCTGAAAGAGGTGGCCTTGTACAGCATAGTTGGGTATTGGGGCATATGTGGTGTTTACTCAGAGAAAGCATGGGCAGGAAGGACTTTGGGGGAGCTGAAGGGTTGGCACCATGGTATGAGTGTCCAAGCTCAGAGTCACTTGTGGAGGGGGCGGAAGATGGCCTGGCTGATCTGGCCAGGGATGGTGTAGAAGACAAGGAGAAGGAAGATGGTGATCAGTGCCAGCAGCAGCAGCAGCACCAAGATGCGCCAGTAGCGGCGCCAGATGAAGAAGACAAAGGTCTTCAGTGGGTTCACAAACCAGTTGAAGGAGGTTTTGGGGCGGCTGTTGAGGGAAAGGGTGGTGTCAGGATGATGCCAAAGCCCATTGGCCGCCCCAACCCTGTGCCCCTGACTCACTTAGGCTTCTCCAGGGGTTCTGGCTCCTTCCGCCCCTTCCCCACTGGCCGCCTCTCAGCCTCTTCCACAGTCAGCAGTTCAAACTCTACCTCCACCTTACCCTAGAAGACACTCCTGCGTCACCAAGGCAGAGGCCAAGCTCTAAGGCAGGCCTGGCCCCAACCCACTACACCCACCGTGATGATATACACGTTGCCGCCTGTGTCTGTGAACTCAAGGTCTTCTGGCCGGCCCTTCCTCCTCCTCTGCTTCCGTCTCTTCTTGCCTTCCTGGGCCTCCCGCATCAAATCCTCTTCCTCCTGCAGCTTCACCACCGGCCACCAGCCCCGCAAGCGGCGGCAGCGAAATAGATTGCACCGAGGCCCTGCCCCATGGAGGGCCAGCCGCACTGAGCAGAGCTCCGGACTCCAGGCCCCCCGCACCATGTCCGGCAGCTGCAACTCCAAGGACCCTGCAAGTCCAGAGTTCTCGGGGTTAGGCAAGAGATCAAAGCCTGTGGTGGGGTTGGGGGCAGCGAGTTGAGATATGTTAAATTGGTGAATTAGGAGGTAGCAGACAGGCCATGGCTGTGGATCACCCACACCACAGCCCACTACTGGTAGGTGGTCAGATCCCAGTGAGAGGGGGCAGAGGATTGGGATCAGATGCCACAGCAAGGACCAAAGGCTATATGGAGTCGCCATTCAAGGTGACGAGCACAGGTCAGATCAGGGCTTGTCAGGGACCTTGAGTGGGAAGGAAGGTATCTGTGGTCTGAGCTTAATAAGCTTAGCAAGTAGGTCAGGAAGCACAGGTTCCGACCTAAGGTATGAAGCCCCAGGATTCAGGGTTAGGTTAGAGAACCTGGGACAGGGCAGGGACGAGGTTGGGGAAGGCTGAGCAGTACCAAGGAAGTCATTGGCGGAGATGCGGTCATAGTCCCAGACTTGCAGGACCAGCACGGCCGGCTGCCGGCTGCCGGCTGCCGGCTGCCGGAACTCGGCCTCTTCCAGGGCGAAGGGCCCAGGCCGGCGCCAGACGCTCACCTCCCGTTCCGTGGGGAGGTAGTCAAAGCGGAACACGAAGCGCCAGTTGAAGTTCCCTTCCCCAGTCAGTGAGTTGAAGTGAACATCTGTCTCCTGCTTGTCATGCTCCAGCCCCTTCACCCAACTGGGGCAGCACAAAGGACAGACCAAGGTGGGTGGGCACAGGGACCCAGGCCAGGCCCAGGCCCACTCCTCACCCCATATAGCCATAACTCACCCAGCTTTAGGCACCGTAGAGGGACTGGGGACAGGGCTCTGGATTCAGCCTCAGGATCCACGCCCATGCTTGCTATCCCCCCTCAATGCCATCCTCCCTTGGTGTACAACCAGTGACCTGGCCTGGCCCACAGGCCTACCTCTTCACATAGATATCACTTGACATCTCTCCAGTGAGTGGATTCACGTCATCCAGAACCACATCTTCTGTATTCCAGATGACAACTCTGAGCTCATAGCTGATGGATGTATTGGGGGATGGTTTTTAGACCTTTGAGAGAGGCGCTGGGAAGGACTACAGGAAGCAGGAAGGCCCTGGGCCAGGGCCACTGACGTGCCCTCAGTACTGGGTATGAGCCCAGCTGGGTAATCAGGATGCCTATGACTCTATGAAGGGACAGCCCCAGGTATCACCAACTACCTCAGCCATGGTGGCTGGCACCAGGAATAGTCTGCCAACCCTGTCTGGGCCAACAAGGTTCTCCCTCCCATAAATTAAGAATCAGGACCCTGAACCATCAAGTGGTGTGGCATTAGATGCAGAATTGGAGCCCACTGCCAGCTGAAGTTTTGGGGTGCAGGAAAAGTGGTTAGCAGAGAAAACCAGTCTGCAGAGAGGAGTGGGAGGCTGGGACACAGCAGGGATTGACAGTGTGCAATCCCTGAGGAGCTGCAGCATTCTGGACCCTACACTCACGTGGCCTTGTCCTTGGCTGTCATGAGCTTACCTGAAGAGTTGTTGGTTTCTTTTACCCAACATAAGTTCCCCATGTTTGTTGACAGCATCAGATTTTCAACTGATGATCTCCCCACCCCACCTCCCCCAATGTCACTTAGATAATTCTGGTGGGGCACATCATCTACGACATCACTTAGTACTGGCCAATCATCATGTTATAGGCCCTGAGCACAGCGGTGATTCAGGGAGCAGCATTTGACCCAAGCCAGTCTAATGAGAGATTGCCCTGAGGCTTTTGCTCTAACTAGGAGCCTGGCACTGTTAGAAAGCACCTAACAAAAGGCTTCCTGAGAGCAACACCAAGGAAAGCAGAACCCAGAGGCACAAAGTGATAGACTGCTGACAGCTGAGCATCTGGATCCAGCCCTGTCTGGAGTGGCTACACCCTCCAGGGAAGTGCCCTCCAACTCACATTGGAAGGGGGTTACTGAAAGGTACCTGGACTACTGTCTATAAGTGACAGACGAATGCCCAACTCACAAAGGCTTAATAAGAAAAGGGAATTTAATGATTCACCTAACTGAAAAGCCTGAGTGCTTGCTCTACTGGGGACCCAGCTTTTCAGAAGACCCTTGTACTGGTAAACCAACATGTGCCCCCTTCGAAGGAGGGGCCAGACTCTCTCACCTGATTGGCTGCCGAGGCTTGATATCAACTGGAGGTGGGGCAGGCACATCTCTGGGAAAGATGTCAATCCACATGTGAAGGGATCCCTGGGGACACAGGACCAGGCTGGAGGGTCTTGTTAAGGACCCACCTCCCTGACAGCCCTGTGGCCAAAGGCTGTGCCTCTCCCAAGGGAAAGGAGAGTTGGGGCTAAGAGGAAAGAGCCTGGCAGTTGCTGAGGCATGAGGATAAAGGTGGAGTCTGATGTGGGGGATCTGAGGTAGAGGTTAGCTTGGGTGTTCAGGGATGAGGGCCCAGAAGTAGGAGTTGAAATTAAAAGTAAGATCTGGCATTCCCAAGGTCCAGATCTTAGAGGTCAGGTTTGAGACCCCAGGTCTGAATCTTGGTGGACCTACAGAATCAGGGGTGGGAGTATATGATCCAGCATGGAGTGGGGATGCTGGAACCTAGTGCCAGGAGGCAGAACCAGGAATGGCAGTATAGTGTCAGGTGGAGGTCTTGGAGGAAGATGGGAATCCTAGGGTCCTGGGAATATTATTCTGGGGCTAAGCCCCGAGCCCTCCCTCACCTGCAGCAGCCCTGGGCTGCGGGGGTGGTAGAGGGGCCGTGTTTCTACATGCTCAGGTACCAGCTGGATCCCCAAATCTGGCATCTCCTGCCAGCGTCGCAGCACAAGCAATGCCTGGGCTTCCTCAGGGGCCCCTCCTGCTTCCTGGGGCACCCCCCTACCTGAAACAAGAGGTGTGAGCTTGGTTTCCACACAGTTCTCCCCCCATTCTCCTGTCCCTTCATAGAAGCTCTAAACCAAGGCAGCCACTGTGTTGGAACAAACCCACGGACTAGGGGAGCAAATATGTAACCCACAAAAAGCAGGGGCAGGTGGGGAGGGCTGCTGCTGCAACTTTTCCCAGTGAAAAGCCAGCAGTCAAGGGAATAGTGGGACTGGGAGAGGAGAGGGAAGAGACCACTAACCATTTTTTGAGTCATGAGCTCAGTCCTACACCCACACTCTATTGTAAAGGATACTCTGTGGGGCCACCCTGTGTTCTGGGAACTTGATTAGCTATGACTCGGGGGGCCCACTTTTGCTCTTTGGGGACCTCATGTTCACCAACAAAGACCATCTTCTTTACACCATCCAAGAAGCTCACCCTTAACCAAACTCACCTCCTCTACTTAACTAAAGGATACTTTGGTGGGGGCACACTAGACTAGGCACAGGGCCCTTTGTTTTTTGTTTTTTTGTTTTTTTGTTTGTTTATTTGAGACAGAATCTTACTATGTCACCCTCAGTAGAGTGCAGTGGCATCACAGCTCACAGCAACCTCAAACTCTTGGGCGTAACTGATTCTCTTGCCTCAGCCTCTCGAGTAGCTAGGACTATAGGCGCCTGCCACACGCCTAGCTATTTTTTTGTTGTAGTTGTCATTGTTTAGCAGGCCCATGCCAGGTTCAAACCCTCCAGCCCCAGTGTATGTGGCCAGTGCCCTAACCACTTAGCTACAGGCGCCGAGCCACCACCAGGACCCCTTGTACCTTGTTCTACTACCATCTTCCTCCCTGTGGCCTGTCCAGAAGAGAAGGGTTGATACCTGGTGGCAGCATCTCAGGTGGTGTTAGAAAGACTTTGCTCCCCACCTTGACAGCCTCAGCTCGGTATTCAGGAGCAGGGAAGCCACAGCGTTGGCACAACCCTGCCAGGATCTGAGAAGGCCGGAATGCATCGCGCCAGGCATTGTACCCATCCCTGTGGGCAGAAACAGAGAATGCCTCAGCTGGGGCCAGCATATGGATACATTCAGGCACAGGGGCAAGGATAAGGATTCTTGATGACATGGGATCTAGGTTCATGACTCCAATGGGAGACAGGTTAGCCCTCACCTATAACAATGAAAATCAAAGGTGTATGCCAGGGGCTTCTATGAAGGCGATACTAATATCTCCATTCTGCAGCTATTAAAAAACTGAGACTCGAAGTCGCATGTTAATTATAGAATTCTAACTCCTAAGCCCATATCTTGACCACCAAGCTTTAATGTTGTAGTTGGCGGAGGTGGGGAGCCCCCTCTATGGAGCACAAGTAGGAGCGTGAGCTTGAAGGTGTTTGGTCAGAGATTTAAAATGGCTGAACTAAACTTTTTTTTTTTTGGGAGACAGAGCCTCAAGCTGTCGCCCTGGGTAGAGTGCTATGGCATCACAACTCACAGCAACCTCCAACTCCTGGGCTTAAGCAATTCTCTTGCCTCAGCCTCCCAAGTAGCTGGGACTACAGGCACCCGCCACAATGCCCGGCTATTTTTTTTGGTTGCTGTTGTCATTGTTGTTTGGCAGGCCCAGGCTGGACCAGGCTGGATTTGACCCTGCCAGCTCTGGTGTATGTGGCCAGCGCTTTAGCCACTTGAGCTACAGGCACTGAGCCGGCTGAACTAAACTTACATGTCGTACTGGGCAGCCAGCCCACAGTTTGCTCTGTGGTGGCTGTAGAATCAGTTTTCCAAGTCAATGTGGGTCTCTCCAATGAGGTCATCAGAACCCAGGAGGTCATGATCAAATATAGCAATGGTCAGCTCCGGCTCAGCAGGGAGAGGGATGCTTAGCTCCAGGACCCTGGCCAAGAGGAAGAGTGGCTAAGGACACTTCCATGCCTTAGGAGGTAGTCTGGGGTGGGGGTGTCAACAATCTCTGCCCATTCATCCACTGTCCCCAGGCCAACTACCTAAGAGCCCTGGAGCCACAGAGCTGGCTGGGCAGGTTGCCCCCCTCCCCTCATTCCCCTCTCCAGGACCCAGCCTCACTCTCCAAAGATGGGATTGAGCTGCTTGGGGATGTAGCGCTCCTTGGTGTCCCGCCGCTCCTGGCTGGCACTCACCACCACATAGGGGTCTGCTTTGCCATTAGGGTCTGCTGGAGCCAGGTTGGTAGCCTACGGAGATGGTATGGAATGCAGCTGGGAGAAGTGTCCTTGTCATGGCCTAAGGTTAACCCTGTTGGACCTAATCTCAGATTAAGTGTTAAGCAGGACATTACCAAGGAGAAGTATCACTCTGAGAGGAGTTTAACTGAGATGGGGCATGATGACTTTTATTTTCAATTAGTTATGAAATACTTAAGACATACAAATAGGTATAAAAAATAGAATGAAACAGAAAATATTTGTAAAGATGTATAAGGGCTTACTCTTCAACTTATATAATTATTTTTTCTTTTTTTTTTTTGAGATGGAGCCTCAAGCTATCCCCCTGGGTAGAGTGCCATGGCATCACTCTCACAGCAACCTCCAACTCCTGGGCTCAAGGGAGTCTCCTGCCTCAGCCTCCCAAGTAGCTGGGACCACAGGCGCCCACCACACCGCCTGGCCATTTTTTGGTTGCAGCCATTATTGTTGTTTGGCGGCCCGGGCTGGGGATTCGAACCCGCCACCTTAGGTGTATGTGGCTGGCGCATTAGCCGCTTGAGCCACAGGCGCCGAGCCAATTTTTTTTTTTCTTTGAGACACCAGGGTAGCTTGCCACATCATCATCATAGCTCACAGCAACCTTGTACTTTTGGGCTGAAGTGTTCCTCTTGCCTCCGTCTCTTGTCTCAGCTGGGACTACAGGCATGTGCCACCATGCCTGGCTAATTTTTATGTTTTTAGTAGAGATGGAGTCCCACTCTTGCTTGGGCTGGTCTTGAATACCTGAGCTCAAGTAATCCACCCGTATTGGGTTCCCAGAGTGCTAGGATTACAGGCATGAGCCACCATGCCCAGCCCAATTTATAATTTTCTGTATTATTTGACTTTTATTTTTTATGATAAGAATATATTACTTTTTTTTTATTTTTTGAGACCGAGCCTCAAGCTATCCCCTTGGGTAGAGTACTGTGGCATCACAGCTCACGGCAACCTCCAACTCCTGGGCTCAAGCGAGTCTCCTGCCTCTGCCTCCCAAGTAGCTGGGACCACAGGCGCCCGCCACAACGCTTGGCTATTTTTTGGTTGCAGCCATCATTGTTGTTTGGCGGGTCCAGGCTGGATTCAAACCTGCCACCTTAGGTGTATGTGGCTGGCGCCTCAGCCACTTGAGCCACAGGCACCAAGCCAAGAATATGTTACTTTTAAAATCAGGAGTATTGGGCCTTAGTCTTCTGAGTAGTTGGGACTACCCAACATCATACCCAACTAATTTTTTCCTCTTCCCTCTCCTTTTTCCTTTCCTTTTCTTGAGACAAACTCGTTCTGTCACCCAAGCTAGAGTGCAATGACATCACAGCAACCTCAAACTCCTGGGCTCAAGCAATCCTCCTGCCCTAGCCTCCCAAGTAACTAGGACTACAGGGGTATACCACCATGCCTGACTTTTTCCCCCTATTTTTTGGAGAGATGGAGTCTTGCTCTTGCTCAGGCTGATCTTAAACCCCTAACCTCAAGCACTCTTCCCACTTTGGCTTCCTAGAATGCTAAGATTACAGGTGGGAATTACTATGTTCAGCTAAGGTTTCCCTGTTTCCCCGCCATTTTCTAGATGCCTTATATCATATCATGTAGTCTGTCATACTGTGAGAAGCAGGTCAAGATGACTTCTATAATCTAATGTATACATTAGGATTCTTAGATTATGGAAGAACAGCACCTTAGAACGTTTCTTCAACTTACTGCTTAGAATCCCTATATTTAAAACAGATGACAGTGCAGCATCTGCTGTGATGATAGGGAGTGAGGGGGCAGATCAACCCACTTATTCCCCCCAACTCACTGAGATAGCTTTAAGAAAACATCAAGGCCTTGCAGAGTTCTGTATGGAAATCACAGTACTGGGAGAACCTGCACAAAGGGGGTTCATGACAAGCTAAGCCTAAGACCCAGAGCTACGCTCATCCTACAGTCACACTCCCTGTTCTTTTCTTTTCTTTTTGAGACAGTCTTACTATGTTGCCCTTGGTAGAGTGCTGTAGCATCACAGCTCACAGCAACTTCAAACTCTTGGGCTTAGGTGATTATCTTGCCTCAGCCTCCCAAGTAGCTGGGACTACAGACACCCACCACAATGCCCGGCTATTTTTGTTGTTGTTGTTGTCATTGTTGTTTGGCAGGCCCGGGCTGGGTTCGAACCCACTGGCCCCCACTGGCCCTGGTGTATGTCGCTGGTGCCCTAGCCACTGAGCTACAAGTGCCTAGCCTTTTGTGTGTGTGTGTGTGAGATAGAATCTCATTTAGTCACCCTGGGGTTGAGTGCTGTAGCATTATAGCTCACACCAACCTCAAACTCTTGGGCACAAGCAATCCTCTTGCCTCAGCCTCCTGAGTAGCTGGGACTATAGATACGTGCTACCATACCCAGCTAAGTTTCTAAAAATTTTTTGTAAGGACACGGTCTCCACTATGTTGCCTAGGCTGGTCTTAAACTCCTGAGCTCAAGGGATCCACCCACCTTGGCACACTCCCCATTCTACAGGACTAGAACCTAAAGGACTCAGGAGACGCTCTATATTCCAGTTCTATCACAAGCAAGTTTTGTAATCCTAGAGAGTCACCTGTCTTTGTGCCTAAGACTTCCTATCTCGAAAATAAAGAAGTTAGACTTTGATCCTTGAGGTTCCTTCCAAAGCTTTCATCCTGTAGGTTCCGTATGTTACCTTAGCTGGAGGTGGAGGAGTGCAGAGCTATAGCTGCTCACCTTGACAACATAGACTCTGACCAGGAGCTTGATGGGCCGGTTCTGTGGGATCCCCCGGGAGATCTGGGGCTCAGAGAATGACACTGCCTCTGATTTTGGATAGATGAGGAAGGAGCCCTGGGGTGAGCAGAGACAGAAAAAGCCCTAGTGAGAGAGTTGTCCTCCAAAATCCACACCTGTGCTCCCTAGTCCCCTTTTCTTTCACAAACATACCTTGAACTTGCCCACCCGGTGTCCAGCTCCTTCTTCATCTCCGTCTCTATCCTGGCCCCCTGGTCCTCGGTAAAGGGGAAACACATTCAGCCAATCTTCAAAGTGGTTAAATTCTTCCTCCAGGGAGCTGGTATAGATCTGAAAGGCAAGGGCCTCAGTAACAGCTCACTGTCCAGAATCCCAGGACACTCCCTCCCCCCAACACCCAGTCACCTTCAGGGTGGCGAGTGCTTTTTTCCGGGACACAGAACCTTCCACTTTAGCTTCACCCTGGTCTTGGGTCTCCCCATCCACAGAAATGAGGTTGACCCCAGCTAGGACAGCAAAAACGCTCCAGTCAGGAACATCTGGATAGGTGGAGGGGGAGATAGATGGGGCAAGAGCAAAAAAGCCAAATCTCTTACCTGAATCTCCAGGATCATCCATTTCATCTTCATCAGAGTTGGGCTGAAATCAAAGGGCAGATCAGAGATTCTTCCCCATCCCTTTCAACTCTGTAGTCTACCTCTTTTCCAAGGTGGGCACTGGGAAACCTTATTTCAAGCTCTGACCGTGTAAGCCACTTGAATTTTCAAAGCTTCTTCAATTAATCATCTAGTCCTGTGCTATCCACCAGCCACATATGGCTGCTGTGAACTTGAAACATTGTTGGTTTGGTTTTGTTTTTTGTTTGTTGGTTGGTTTTAGACAGAGTCTTATTTTGTCACCCTCAGCAGAGTGCTGTGGCGTTACAGCTCACAGCAACCTCAAACTCTTGGACTTAAGTGATTCTCTTGCCTCAGCCTCCCAAATAGCTGGGACTATAGGTGCCCGCCACAATGCCTGGCTATTTTTTTCAGAGATGGGGGTCTTGCTCTGGCTCAACCTTGCTCTCGAACCTGTGAGCTCAGGCAATCCACCCGCCTCTGCCTCCCAAGTGCTGGGATTACAAGTGTGAGTCTCCGTGCCTGGCATAGCATTTCATTTCTATTAGGAGACAACTCTTGATAATGGAGCTAATACCGCAGCTTCTAGAATTATTGTGAAGACAAGAAAAGATGATGGTAATGAAGAGCTCTGTAAAAGTGTAGAGCTCCACCTTCAATGAGATCATTCTTCATGCCATGGGACCCTCCCCTGCTCGCACCTGCCCCTGGAGCTCCTGTAGGGATGCATAGTACTTAGACCACCAGTCAAGCTCTTCTGGATCTGGGATGTCCTCCTTCAGCTCAGGCCCTTGATTTAAGAGGCCTCCTAAGGGGAGCTTCTTCAGAGGAACCTGCAGGAGAAAGGGCTCAGTCCCTTTGACCCAGCACCACCTCAAGCCCTACCAGCCCCTTCTCTGCCCATCACCCATACCCATCACCTTCAGGAGCCGTCTGGAGATCCCCACTTCAGCCAAGAAGGGATCCAGAGGCTTCTTTGCTGGGAGGAGGAAAATGACACCATGAGGAAATTTGTTGAGTACAAGTCAGACTCCAGGCTCCATTGGTAGGGGGGTCCTCTGGAGCCATCTCTGCCAGGAACCACAGGGGTTTTTGTCTGGTGGCCCCTAAGGAGAGAAGGCTCCTAACCTTGAGGTCTCTTAGGCACCAGGTCCCCTGTCTCCTCCGCTCCTTCCTCCTCGGGGGGATCCTCATGACTCTGGAATGTGAATTGTAGCATGTGAGGGACAACATGGGAACCCACAAGGACTGTGCGGCCAAAGGCCCGGCACTCAATTACCAGGATGCTGAGTGGGGGCTGCAGGTAAGGTTGTTCCAGCAAGTTCTGGGGTGAGAGAGAGGAATTGTCTCTGAGACGGGGAGAGGGAGAGACCGTCACAGAGAGGGCTGGGGAGACAAGACCTGGACACAGACAAGCCTGTGTTCTAAGCTCAGCTCGGCCTCAGCCTGCCTGTGTCACCTCTGGGGAATCACTGCCTTCTGACCCTGTTTCTCAGTGAAAAATGGACCGAGTGCTGGAGTCAAAAGATTGTTATAAGTATCAAATGACAAAATTTGATAATGATAGGCTCAGACCTGTAATCCTAGCACTCTGGGAGGATCACTGGAGTTCACTAGTTTAAGACCAGCCTGAGCAAGAGTGAGACCCTGTGTCTACCAAAAACGAAAAACTGAAGCAAGAGGTCTCTTGAGCTCAAGAGTTAGAGGTTGCTGTGAGCTATGATGCCACAGCACTTTCCCCAAGGTGACAAAGTGAGACTCTGTCTC